GACTTTGTGGCTAATGCTGAAAGAAGACAATATTTCATGAATGAAAGTAGGGTAGATGCTGCCCCTGTCTCACAGTATTTAACATCCTCTTCATTAATTATCGAATCGCTGGTGATAACTAAAGGCTTGACTGCTAACTGAAAGGTTTGTAGTTTAGTCCACCTAGAGGCTCCTCAGAAGAAAGACCTGGATTAGATATTGAAAGTTCCACTCGGACATACATGGGACCACCATGAATGAGAACCAGCTCAACATCAACTATGTGTGGGCTTCTATTGCAATGGAGGTGGTCTTAGTTGGTGGGACAAAAGGAAAGCCTTGAAATGGATCACTTAGTAGGTCCAGAAAGCATGCTTTACTGCCTACTTCAGTTATAGCAAAAGTCATAAAATTGACCACTAGATAACTGTTTTGCAGTGCACTTTGTTATACATTGCTCTTCATTGTCCAGTGTTATACAAAGGTATGTCAGTATCCACATTTCTTAGTTTCTGATTATTCGGAATCTTGGTGTGTCACTATAGGATAAGCACTGGACTGCAAAGTCGATTTCAACCACAAGATTGGTGGTTCAAACTCACCAGTCACTCCTTGGAAACCCTGTTGAGGGTTGCTGTGAGTCAGAACCAACTTGATAGCACTTAACAACAACAAATACTCTGGAGATTTTTTCCATTTCAGTCTATTCCTCTTAGTACCTTACCTGTTTTTATATTGCCTATGCATTTGCCTCTACTACCTGCTATGTTTCCCACAGATTTGCCAAAGTTGTGTCTGGTGGTATGCTAAAACATAGTCTTTTTCAGCGTTATTATGTAAATGTTTTCATAAAGTCAGGACATTATTTTCTAATTACTAATACGCTTTTATGTTCTCAAGTAAATCAGTATCTAAGTCAGTGGGCACTATTTCATTCTGTGGCAATTTGTACTGAGCAGATGGGTTAGCTAATTGGCCCGTGTCTTCTTTTCCTTTCTCCAGATTCTGCTTTCTCCTTTAATAATGGCCAATTATGCCGATCCAATTTAGCACTCTTAAATGAGCATCCATCTTAAATATCCTGCTTGCCTTGTATTTGTAGAGTGTTTTTAAAGTACATATTAAAATATTTTTTGGTTTGTAATCTTGTTTTAAAAATTAATATTGAACACTTTGCTCCATTAATTTGGGGGCCACATTTTTTAAAAAATTAAAATTAGTATCTGTTCCAAGAATGAGTGTGGTGGTGATGGCGATGGTTTTGAGTGTAACACTGGATGTTGCAGCTAGTGCTTTCGAAGACAAGCTCAATCTTTTGTTTCCTTCATTATTTGGACTTTCCTGCAAGATGTGATTCCTGCAGTTTGAGTTGCTTTGAGATGCCTCTGCTCAATTGTGGTTTTCTGACTTTCTATCACTAATTCACTTTAAATTTGGATTTAAGTTTCAGTATTAGAACTTTCAGGAGCCAGGAAAGTGACTGCAGGAATCTACTTTCTGATTGTCGGGACCATCCCGCTTCATTTGCTTTAAGCACACCTGTTCAGAACTCTTTCTTTAAGAGACGCGGACTCCTCTTTCTCTGTGGATGCTACTGAATGTGGACACTTCTGGAAGCCAGCTGGTCTTGTCACTGCCACCATGGCAGTGGGGAGGAGGAGGTGTTCAGGAGAAACAACAGCAAAAGGAATTGCTGTTTGTCTAAAGGCCATGAATAAAAGATCAGCTTAGCTAGAAAAGCAACTGTGTGTCCTGCAGGGGCTCTGCTGTGGGATCAGTTTAGCACCTAAGCATATGCTGGCCCTACATAGCAACTTCTCATCACAGTAAGAGAAGGAGCCCAGGCTTGGGAGATTCTTTTGAGACTTTTCTCATAAGAATATAGTATTATATTAAAACTTTGAAAAGTCAGTCACTGAAGATAAGAATTGGAAATTTAAGTGGACAAGACCGGATATGAAACGGAAGCATTTGTCTCCTCAGAGAGCATTAGTACTACGTGTAGGCTGAGCTTGGTAGATCAAGATCACAGAGCAGCTGAGCTTCGATCAGTCTTCACTCACAACTGTAAACTCCCATCCTGAACAGTGTTCGTTCTACCACACTGGTGGTCGGTACTGGTTGTACACCACTGAGTCAGTTACAACTCATAAGGAGAGTGTATAGGGTTTCTGAGGCTGTAAATCTGTAGAGGTGCAGAAAACCTCGTCTTTCTTCTGCAGAGCAACTGGTAGGTTTGAACTGCTGATCCTGTGGTTGGCAGCTCAGCTTATAATCCACTACTCACCCAGGCCTCCTTCCCACACTATAACTACAGAAAAATCAGTGGGATTAGTTCTTAGAGGAAGACTTACCCATTGCTCCAAGATGTATCCACCAGATGTTGCTATTCAGTGCCATTGAGTCTGTTCGGACTCATGGCTACACTGTATATGATTTCCAAGGAATAGCTGGTGGGTTTGAACTACCGACCTTGCAGTTAGCAGTCCATTGTTTAGTTTACTTGAAAATATAATTTAATATGTTTGTGAACTGCTTCTGATTCCTGTCAAGCTTGAAAGCTTCAGATAAACATCCCTTCTGTTGCTATTTAAAGCAATGATTCATTTTCATGGATTCTAAAGAAACACCTTTCAATAGATCATTTCTTTAGCATGTGGTAAGGTTTAAAGCATGGTTTGTTCTTTTCTATTTATGCAAATCTCCATTGGATTGGATCAACCATGGTATAATTCATTAAGCACTCAGTTACTAACCAAATGCTCAGTGGTTGGAAATTACCAACTGCTCTGTGCTTCTATAGATTTACAGTCTTAAGACACCCACGGGCAGCTCTACTCTCTTCTAGGGGTGCTTTAAGTCAGAATCAGCTCGTAGACAACTGATTTGGTTTTGTTTTACTAATGTAAATGAAGATTAAGTGTAAAATATTCTATACTTAAAAGACAGAAGCTACAAGATATGTCTTCTGGCTATAGCGGAATATTCTACCTCCTTCTCCCCCAGCAAAGCTCCTACAAAATTCTAAAAATCAGTTATATTCAAGTGTTTCTAGTAAACTCTATAACATACTTTGAATGTGTTTGCATTTAAATTATACCTTTTGATTTCTCTTTTTAAACCTTTACTTTTTAAGTTTGTCAGCTGAAAATTAAGATGTGATCTGATAGTGTAGTGGTTAGGAGTAGGGCTGCTAACCGCAAGGTCAGCAGTTCAAAACTACCAGCTGTTCCATGGGAGAAAGATGAGGCTTTCTGCTCCTGTAAAGATTTACAGCCTTGGAAATCCTATACAGTGTCGCTATGGGTCAGAACCGACTCCACGGCACACCACCACCAGCACTGCTCTAGGATGGGAGTCCTGGTGTTGCGCTGTAGGATAAGCAGTGGGTTGCTAACAACAAGGTTGGTGGTTCAAACCCCCCAGCTCCTCCTCAGAAAACCTATGCAGGGTCACTATGAGTCGGAACTGACTCCACAGCACTTAACAACAACAACAACAAGCTCTAGGATAAACACTGCTGTAGGATAAGCACTGGACCACAAAGTCAGTTTGAATTGCAAGGTTGTTGGTTCAAACCCACCAGCTGCTCCTCAGAAACCCTATACAGGGTTACTCTGTGTCGGAACTGACTCCACAATGCTTAACAGCTCAGAACACTAATGTGGCATCGTATATTTATGAGGTTTTTATCTCCTGACCAGCACTTGTTAAGCTTGGAAGGGTTCAGAATTCCTGACTTAGTTAAACCACCTTTTTCCATTTAGCCTTCTTTTCATCTCATAATTGCTGCTTCTGTCTTTTCCTTTCCAAGATTTCTTTGGCACACTGGAAAACACTATCAGCATTTGCCAGAGCATGCTTGATTCACATGGCTGCATGCCTCATTACTAGCCACGTGACAGTGAGGCTGCTACCCAGCCAGTTCACCAGGTGATTAGAGTGGGATCGGGCCAGGTTAGAGGAACTTGGGGAAATTCAGGAGCAGTCAAAGCTGGGGTAGCACTTGGCAGCTTCTGTCTTTGTCAAAGTTATCAAGTTTGGTGATTTAATAGTACTCAGTACGTCTATGAGTCCTGGTGTGGCGCTGTAATAAGCATTGGACTGCAACGTCAGTTTGAACCTCATGATCAGTGGTTCAAACTCACCAGCTGCTCCTCAGAAACCCTATAGAGAGTTTCAATGAGTCGGAAGTAACTCTTTGATGCTTAACAACAACAGTTATCTTCTGGTGTCTTTGTGTGGCACTGTGCGAAAAGCACTGGACTGCTAAACACAAAGTCAGTGGTTCAATCCCCAGCAGCCTTTCCTTGGAAACCCGACTCAGGGTCACTGTGAGTAGAAACAACTGGACAGCACTTAGCAGAAACTGTCTTCTGTTCTTTTGTCTACAGAGAAGTATGGTTCCTACCAGCAAAGCTTGAGCTGATCATTTTTGTTTGTTGACTCTGGTTTGCCTCAGTGTTAGTTTGGACAAGAGATTTGAAGCTGTTTGGTGTCTTACCCGTGTTAATCCAGACATTTCCTCAGTTTGAGATGATGAAGCTCTTCCCACTGTTCTGCATGAGACTGTGCTGATGTAACCGCTCTCTTGGGGTTTACAAGTCTGTGGAGTCTTAATTATGTACACACAGGGCAAGGCCTCTACTAAATGTATGTGTGTGTGACGGCGTGGGGGTGGTATCACTGGAGGTATCTCCCCTTTCACTTTAGGAAAGCACACTCAGTTTTCTGCAGGAATTATCTTTGTCTAGGCAGGGAAATAGAGTTTCTACTTAAAATCGCTATGAGACCTGGCGGAATGTTCCTGATGGATTGCCTCCTTCTGTTTTGTCAATGCCGACGCTCAGATTCCAAGTCACTTCCTGGGTTATTGTGACCCTCAGAATGCACATCAATAGACCAGAAAAGAGGTCCCATGATCCCTCCTTAGAAATGGAGGGACACTTGGAGAAAGAACAACTGCCAGGGATGCCCTCCAACTTCTCTATTTGTTCCTCTCTGTAACTCATTGGGTCATCATGGAAACAGCCAGAAACACTCAAATTACACTGAAATTCCCACCCCTTGACAGAAGTCAGAAGGTGAAAAATTATGATCGTCCTGATGTTCTGCATGACACCTTTAAAACTCTGTCAGCCCTCCATAAGCTGCTGCCAAGTCGTCTGACAGACGTGCTCTACTCCTACAAAAGTGAAGAGGACAAAAGAAAATGTACGTGGGTGTGGTATAGTGGTGAACTTTTTAGGAGGTGCACACTTTATCCTGCCATGCACTGCCTCTCCTGTTAGCGTGGCTAGGAACTTCTCTCCACTTAGGGCAGGATCCCTTGAGAGCCCTGAGCCTTACCAGCACCTGTCAGACCCATGTCTGATTCACATGCTGGTTCAACCATCACTTTTGTTTAGTTAGTAGTCTGTATTCTTCTTTAGGCAAGGAGAACCTGTGGAAACATGGAAAGGTAATCAAGTAGAAAATGATTCTAAATTTGTCTTTTAAACTTTAGATTTGATTTTAAAATTGCGAGGACTTCTGAGATGAAGGTTTGGTTTCTTTCTTTGCTGATTCCTACTACTGCTTCCTCCTATTGCCAGAGTTTCCCACAGGGAAACTGGATGCCACCCCACAGGATTAGAAGCAACCTGCCCTGTCTGCAGTTTGGAGTGGCCTGTCACTCCTGAGACTCTTCAAGGAGGCTGGTGACCAGTTTAATTTGTAGAATTGGGCAGGCTCTGCCTCCTGAAATGCGAACAAAGGTGGATGATGGCAGCCACCTGTGCTGTGAGCTTGAAAAGTTAAATAGCATCTGATACGATTAATGCGCTGGACTGCAACATCAGTTTGAACTGCAAGGTTGGTGGTTCAAGCTCACCAGCCGCTCCTAGGAAACCCTATACAGAGTCATTAAGGGTCAGAACCGACTCAACAGCACTTAACAACAACAACAATAATTAAGGGAGTCCTGGTGTAGCGCTATAGGATAAGAGCTGGACCGCAAGGTCGGTTTGAACTGCAAGGTTGGCAGTTCAAATCCACCAGCCACGCCTCAGAAACCCTGTGCAGGGTTGCTATGAGTCAGAACTGACTGGATAGCACTTAATAACAATAGTAATTAAGCAGGAGCCCTGGTAGCATGTGGATTACAAACTGGGTTACTAACTGCTAGGTCAGCAGTTCACCTATACCAGTTGATCTACGGCAGAAAGATGAGGCTTTCTGCTCCCATAAAGATTTACAACCTCGGAAACCCTGTACAGGGTTGCTTTGAGTCAGAACCGACTCAACAGCACACCACCACCACCATCACCACCACAGTAATTAAGACATGAGTCCTGGACAGGAAAATAGGTATTGGTATACATCTATCAGCATGGTTAGGTTCCAAAGAGCAGGTCCTTATGTGAAGATGAGGATGACCACATCAGATCACAACATGGGAGGTGAATTGTTGAGCCATCGAGAATCATAGCCCAGCTAAGTTGACGCAAAACCCTAACATTACAAATCAGTGCAACTCTTGCCACACATCTCGGCATTGTTATCACAAATTGTTAATATATTGTTAATATGCAAAAGAGATAGCAGTTTGTTTTTTTTTACTATTTTCATAAATATGAACATTTGACTAATGAGATAGGTGAGGAGTGGATGTAATGATTTTAAAACATCTCGACAAATTGGACCATTTTTTGACTATCCTTCATCCCAGGAATTTGGCCATCCCTCTAGTAGCGTGTTGTTGTTAAGTGCTGTCGATTCCAACCCATAGCAACCTTGTATAGGGTTTCTAAGGAGCAGTTGGTGAGCTTGAACCGCCGACCTTGCAATTCAATGTGCCTTGCAGTCTGGCACATTAACCCACAGTGCCACACCAGGAGTCCTGGTAACATAGCGGTTACAAATCGGGCTGCTAACCTCAGAGTCAGTAGTTTGAAACTACCAGCTGTTCCGCAGGAGAAAGAGGAGGCTTTCTACTCCCGTAAAGATTTACAGTCTCAGAAACCCTGTACAGGGTCGCTATGGGTCCGAACCGACTCCATAACACACAACCCCCACCAGCAATCTTAGAATCTGACTCATGGTATGGCACTGTAGGATAAGCACTGAACTGAGAACCACAAGGTCAGTAGTTGAAACCCACCAGCTGTTCCTCAGAAACATTAATAGGGTTGCCATGAGTCGGTATCGACTTGACGGCACTTAATAACAACAATCTTAGAATCCAGAGAAATAGCACTCAATCCCAAGAATTCTCCTTCTCTAAACTGAGCTGTTAACCACCTCAGTAAGAGCAACTATACAGATTTTACTTTATGTTTTCCCGGATATATAGAACTAATCTTATCCTGGTCCTTTATCAGCTAGCGTCTTAATGTTTTTCTGAGGTGATGAAGGAGAAAGAACTGATAATTTGGTTAGTTCTAGAAAGTAAGTTTGGTAAGTAACTCTTTGACAACTCTACCAACACACAGTAAGTGACTTGACTAGTTCCTCACCGCTTCATTTTACTCAGAAGTTAAGAAATTCACAAGCTATCCCTGTGTTCAAAGGCCATTAAGGAAAAGGATTAGGATGGTGGTCTATAAACTTTTTGTTCACATACACTGTCAGTGAAAACACTCTTCTCCATTTCCTGGAGAAGGACATCATGCTTGGTAAAGTAGAGGGTTAGTAAAAAAGAGGAAGCCCCTGAGTGAGATGGATTGACACATTGGCAGCAACAATGGGCTTAAACATAAGAAAGATTGTGAGGATGGCACGGGACGGGCTCTGGTATGTTCTACATAGGGTTTCTGTGAGTCAGAACCAACTAGATGGCACCTAACAGCAGTGATATATGTACAAATTTATATATTTACAAATTACATACATGACTGTATAATGTATTATACCTTCTAACGTCGAATCATTCTGATAGTGACCTTGTATCGGGTTTCCAAGACTAAAAATCTTTATGAGAGCACAGAGCCTCATCTTTTTCCCAGGGAGTAGTTTGAACCACTGACCTTGAAGTTAGCAGCCCAATGCCTAAACCACAGTGCTACCAGGGCTCCTTACAATATAGTATGGACATTGTATAATGTCACAAGTAGAAGTTAGAAAATGGTGAAAAATGTAAATGGAGAGCCTATGTTTTATCTTCATATTACAGTGGATCGTTTTGTGCACTCATCTAGGTTGGGCTTTGTTGGAACCCCTCTTTGGAGACTCAGCAATAGTAAAAATTCACAACAGTCATGATGTAATAAGACAGGATCTGTGCCAAGGCATGTGTTGTTGTTAGGTGCCATCTGTTCAGTCAGTTCTGACTCATAACACTGGACTGCAAACCACAAGGTCCACAGTTCAAGCCTGCCAGCCACTCTGTGGGAGAAGGATGAGGCTTTCTGCACCTACAAACATTTAAAAAGCCTCAGAAACCCTTTACAGTGTCGATATGGGTTGGAAACCTGCTGATGGCACTTAACAACAGCAATAGAGTTCCCAGGGAGAGCCTGGTGGGTTTGAATCCCCAATTTTGTAATTAGCAATCCACTGCTTAACCAACAGCACCACACCAGGAGTCCAGTGGGTGAAAATTCCAATGTAATGTTAACCTGGACAAGAATGAAAATGTGTTTACTACAATTAATAAAGATTGTAGATAGTGATCCTTTACTTGAAATTGATATTCTGATCATTTATTTGTTGTTGCTGCTGCTGCTGCTAACTGCTGTTAAGTTGGTTCCAACTCTTAGTGGCCCTATGTAGGGTTTCCAAGGAGCGGCTAGTGGGTTTGAACCGCTGACTTGCATTTCAAATTGACCTTGTAGTCTAGTGCTTTATCCTACAGCACCACACGAGGATTCCCTGATTATTTATAGCAAATAAGAATTCAATCAAATGAAGACGTTTTGTGTTCATGAATTGGAAGATTTAATATTGTAAAGATGCCAACACCATCTAAAGTGATCTATGTGTCCAATGTGATCCCTATAAAAATCCCACAGCCTTTATTGCAGAAATGGTTTGAACTGGAAGGTAGGCGGTTCAAGGTCACCACCACTCCTAGGAAACCCTATACAGGGTCACCATGGATCAGAACCACCTCTATGGCACTTAACAACAACAAAAATGGCAATTCTACATTTAATTTTTTCTTTAACATTTTATTGTGATTTGAACAAAAATGTACAGAATGGTTTTCTATTCAGAAACTTGTGTACATTTAGCTTTGTCATGTATGTTAGATCCCCCCCTGTGTAACAGCACTTTGTGATGTTGGTCACACACCCCCCAGTGTAACAACACTTTGTGATGCTGGTTACAGCCCACAGTGTAATGGCACTTTTCACTTCCTTCCATCCATTCTTTTTATTTATTTATTTATTTAATGTTTTATTGTGAATTATATGATAGTTTACATAAGAGAACTTTAGTTTTACATTCATTCCATCGTATATCATCTCATTGCCATGGTTCCAGTCCCCTCCATGCATCATCAACCAACCAAAGGGCATATCCTAGAAACCCGCCCCCTACACTTCCCCCTCCCTCTGCCACCCCCCTCCCCCAGTTATTGGCCCACATTCCCTTTCCCTCTCTGGATCCAAAGTCCCCAGCCGCTTCATCACTTCACATCATCGTCTCTATCTCTATCTCAGGCATCTCTGTTTCTCTGGGCAGGGTCCCGCTCTCGGCTCTTCTCTGTTGATGGTCCAGAGACCTCCGCTCCTAGCCTGGAGAACTCATCACTCCCTTCCTTATTACAAAACGTCTACCTTTGCATTTCCAACCCTCACAATCCGTCCTGATAAGCATTATTCACTACAGTATCACGAGTCACCCATCTGTATTTCTTTTCATCAGTTCCGCCCAGACAGATTGAATAGTACCCACTGGAGATTCTACCTTCCTCCATGCTCCCTAGCACTAGGTTCCCTCTTGAAAGCTTGTAAGCCAGTCACTTCTTGCCTTTGTAG